ACACTTATGGATATGCGTACTGAACTGATAGCGGTGCCACACGCCGGTCTAGGGTACCAGTAGGAAGCCATCGAATCCTGGAGGTCTTAAAAGGAAAGGCGGCCCAAAGCACAGATTGAAACAATTCAAAAGAATCCCTGTGACTACAAGGGGCACACACACACACGCCTCCCCGAGGGGAGGCGTAAAGCTAAGGTGAGGGCCAATGTGCACGTGTGCGCGTGCAAGACAAAAGAATGAAGACATGACAGGAGGACGAGACGGGACAAAGGTGTGTGTGGTTGAAATGAGAGGGGAACCAAGTGCACAGGGACACCCGATGAAGCCCACCTCATTGTAAAGACCTGGGCGACCTGAAACCTGTGTTTAAAGGTATGTAAAAGTGCACGTACACACTAAGGCCGGGACCAATGTGCACGCAAACGAAGAAAAGGATGAGATGACCAGACATCAAGACAGGAGGACATGAAAGAAAAGAGGCAACAAAAGTGTGTGAAGGGGAAGGGGGAACCAATGGAGGGGACGGAAACCGATGAGACCAAACCTCATTGCAACGACCTAGGTGACCTGCCTCGTTTCAATGTACACGCTGTGTGTGCACCCAAGGTCGCGACAGGTTCCAATGAACCTTGAACAAGCTTCGGCCGCTGCGCGTACGCCGTGCCAATATGGCTGGCTGCTTTGACCGCTGCGGTCACGTAAAGGCGTGAGCCAACTTGGAATTCCAAAAATGAGACAAACATCCCACTTCTTGTGGCGTAAGCCATTTGCTGTCCGCTCCGGACACTTACATCTCCAAAGCAAGGGAGATAACGACAAACCCCCGTTCGACGGGTCCACGGGAGGCACTCTGCGGGCTCATCCCGGGTTGGCGCAAGGCCAAACACACTTATGGATACGCGTACTGAACTGATAGCGGCGCCACACGCCGGCCTAGGGTTCCATTTCCTAAGAGTACCAGTAGGAAGCCATTGAACCCTGGAGGTCTTAAAAGGAAAGGAGGCCCAAAGAGCACAAGGTCGAGGTCGGCGATCAGGTCGAAGTGACGGCGTTCCGTTCGTGACTGCCGCAAACCACCATGGAAACAAACCAAGGAAGATTAGGGTCACAGTGTGGTCAACAGTTTGGAACAGGTACACAGTGGGGCGTCCCCCGCACCTACTGGCATCTTCTTCGTTGGACGGGAAATGCCAGTGGTGTCCCGTCCCCCTGCTAAGCACAAAAACAGTTCAAACGAATCCCTGTGATTACAAGGGGCACACACTTATGGATATGGGTACTGAACTGATAGCGGTGCCACACGCCGGTCTAGGGTTCCATTTCCTAAGAGTACCAGTAGGAAGCCATCGAATCCTGGAGGTCTTAAAAGGAAAGGAGGCCCAAAGCACAGATTGAAACAATTCAAAAGAATCCCTGTGACTACAAGGGGCACACACACACTTAGATGGTTGCTCGCAAGAGCTAGGATCAGTATGAAGTCCCCCTTGACTTGATTGAACGGAAAGAACGAGAACCGAAAGGTGGCTGAGTCGATGGACTTGTAGATGTTTAACAAGGTTTCTCGCAGCTCACTAGTCGATTAGTGCAGGAACTGAAAGAGGGCTGGGTCAGAGTACCAGAAGTGTTTAACACGGGTGAGACAAAGGGTTAAAATTTGGCCTGCAGGTGCACGAGAAGGCGTCCCTTCTCGCTTCACCAGTTGTGAGTCCGTCTTCGTTGGTCCAGGGACAACTCACAACTGCCTGGACCCCCTGCCTCTTTTGCGCCCGCGCTGTTTTGATTTTGGTTTGGCTCCTAGTAGCAAGGCCAGGAGCAACTAGTAGCATCCGGCCTTCTAGTGAGATCTACGGCAGGCAACCTTACTAGACACAAACCTTGGAAGCAGGTGTTAACGCACGCACTATGCCGCGATCGGCGCTCTGTATCCCTTCCGTGAAACAATTGTTTGCGACGGCTTTGTACACATAACGCCGATATCGGCGCTCCGGAAGATTACTAGTCACCTAAAAAAACTTAGAAAGACAGACAAAGAAAACAGAACAAAAGCACACGAAGAGGGCAAGAAAGAAAGATAGGTATAGTGACGAGGCCCACTTAGTTAAATGAAAGTAGTTAGCGAGCGGGACTTTTGTCTTAAACCACTCGGGTAGCTAGGAGTAGGGCAGGAGAAACAGAAGGAAAGGCACCGACACACAAGTGTGTTGAGTGCGATTTCCTTCTGTTACCCTAAATAGCGGGTGGGATGGCAACAGAGGCCTGGGGCAGGGAGGGGCCCGAAGGCATTGCCATCAATGGCGTTCAAGTATAGCCTTTTGGGGCCGGCGCACCCATTGTCTGAAAGACATCTGAAAGACACCTGAAACCTAGAGAAAGAAAGGCCTCAAGAAACGAAAAGCAACAGAAAGAGAGAAAGAACTCAAGAGCATCACAAGCACATGCAACTGAAAGGCAGCCTGTGGTTACCTAGCCGTGGAAACTGTACAGGTGAATACTTAGACGCATGTGCAAATCCTGACTGGATCGGAATCTCAGTGAGCCCTGCGGCATGATATCAGTGGTATCGAGCATAACAGCCAGAAGCAATCAAAAGAAGTTCCAAGGTGGAAGAAATCCCCCAGGATCTGGGTCTATGCACATGCATCGCCCCTCGACGGGGATCACACCACAGCCCTCAGTGGCACTCTGTGGCGATACACACTTAGATGGTTGTTCGCAAGAGCTAGGATCAGTATGAAGTCCCCCTTGACTTGATTGAACGGAAAGAACGAGAACCGAAAGGTGGCTGAGTCGATGGACTTGTAGATGTGTAACAAGGTTTCTCGCAGCTCACTAGTCGATTAGTGCAGGAACTGAAAGAGGGCTGGGTCAGAGTACCAGAAGTGTTTAACACGGGTGAGACAAAAGGTTAAAAATTTGGCCTGCAGGTGCACGAGAAGGCGTCCCTTCTCGCTTCACCAGTTGTGAGTCCGTCTTCGTTGGTCCAGGGACAACTCACAACTGCCTGGACCCCCTGCCTCTTTTTTGCCCGCGCTGTTTTTGATTTTGGTTTGGTTCCTAGTAGCAAGGCCAGGAGCAACTAGTAGCATCCGGCCTTCTAGTGAGATCTACAGCAGGCAACCTTACTAGACACAAACCTTGGAAACAGGTGTTAACACACACACATTTACTTTCTGATAGCACAAAGGCTTAGGATACTGCCAAGCCACAACCACAAAGCTATACTCCCCGCAACTTGCTGTGATAGGCCACGGCTTTCTACACTTGACATGCGTTCGCCTTAAGTGAGACGCCGGGTTTCTTCAGGTCATGGTCCGCCTGGCTTCCATCGGATTCTGCTGCGGCGAGCTGGCTGAAGTCCAGGCGAAGCTCTTCAAGATGGTGGGCCGCTAAGCCAGGCTAAGCCAGGCCAAGCCACGATGAATTCCGATGAATGTTGGACCTTGCAGGTTTTGCAAGTAGGTTTTGTTGGGCTTGGCTGAGATCAATTCTGGAGATGATGATGGCTGTCCAACGGCTCGCCACAACGAAGCTCGGATGCTGATTTGTGAGGAGAAGCTGAACGTGTTGCCTTAAGAGGAGGTGCTTTCAAGCTGCTTTCTGCCAAAGTGTAGTGTTTGCCTGGAGGAGCTTCCAGACTTGCAGGAAACCCTGTTGTATCAGGGACAGACGTTGGCCAGGCGAGTGTTGATGTCTGATTTGGGTGAGGTTGTGCATTCATTGTTCAGAGCTCGAAGGTATCTGGCAGCTCGCAAACACCTGAGCAGTTGCGTTGCATTCGTTGTATGTGATGTTGTGTTGGATTCAATTGGGCTATTTGGTTCTCTTGACCGCCCAAGGTTTGGTTTACCACGAGTTGCGGTCAGAGTGCCTCTCCTGGCACAAGTGAGTCAATGAATGTGCACTTTCTTGGAATCTCAGGCTTTTCGAAAAGCTCTACTTCAAGACTCCTGTGATGACCACAGGTTCTGGCCTTGTGCTCACCAGAGAAACTCAGGGGCCAGGGGTGAAACTGTGAGGTCCGGGTAGCCCAACGCCGTCTGCAAGCTTTACACCGGGGAGCTTCACACCCAGGAGTGCCACACCAGGTGGGTCGACCGATCTTGACAGATGTGGACCGACAAGTTCATGACACTTGACTGATGTCGTTCGCAAAGGTGCGGCCACGAATGCAACAACGGGCTCATTCCTCCAAGAGGGCGGAGCCTTGCTGACACTGAAGGTGCAGAAAATCGAATCATCTAGACTTCAGCAAGAGTAACAGCGCTGTGCACTTCCCAAATGTGGTCCTCAGGATGTGGTCCTCAGTCGGCAAAACAGCTTTCTGAGCCGAAGACCTAGTGACCTTGTGGTTTTGAGACCTTTTCACCACTAATGCAGCAAGGATGCTACTAGGGGCTCCTGGTGAATCCTATTAGACGATGCGACCCAGCTTTGCTAGGCTTGATTGAGCAGACCCCTACCATTCTGCTCGTGAGCTTCGTGGCGGGGCTTGATCCCTCGACCCCCTCGACCGCTTCGAAGTTGTTCTTGCTGCTCAGCGTGCGTCGCGCGTTGCATCTTGGAACCTCCGGAAGATTCAAGATCTCTTTGCGATCAGGGCGAGCTGGGCATTGAGTTGACCCATGCGTGGCTATATGCAGCTTGCTACGAATTGTCAAGCTGAAGTTGAAGAAGAAGAGATATGCTCTGTCCACTGCTGCATTTTCAAAGTTTTTCACCTTTGCCCCAGGTAATTGTCGACTACCTTCGCAAACAGAAGCTGGACCAGGCTAGGCTACAATGGCCAACAAGCCTGAATCCTGGGGGCCTTACAAGTACCAATTGCATGCCCTGCTGCTGTGAGATTTATGACTACCTGGAGAGCGATCAAGAAGCTTTAAGCCGATCGCGCTGTGCTCAGTGGCATGATCATAGATTAGGTTGCTAGCGGTTACTAGATCCACAGGTCGCTTGGGTGTACCCGATGGGCCAATGGCTCGAGTTTGTCGCACTTAGGATTGAATCGATGATGCAAATGACACGCAAACGGGTGCAGACTACAGCTCTAGGAGGCCCATTCCTCTCATTTGCATGTCGTGTTTTGGGATGTTGTGATCGCCTCATGGGCCTGCAAGGCTTGACCCATGAGGACTGTCGGAATGTGGAGAAGAGGCTTGAAGAGGCAGGAAGCCTTTGTGGATGTCGATGTTGATTCCGAACGTCAAGTTAAGCTGATGCGTGTCCCAAGGTGCAGCGGCTCTCACAGTGCTTGATTGAAGAAATCCACTCTCGAACGGCACCTTACCAAGTAGCAATGTATTTTTTAGTTAGTTCCAAAACGATGAAGCCAAGGCCGACGAGCTGGCTCGCTATGCGGCGAAGGTTCGAGGACTGCCGCACTTCATGGACTCTTTGACTAGACTTGACAAGACGATTCGGCCAAAAACACGAGTAAACTGACAAGGAGAAGCAGATGGCGATACCTTCGCAGCTCTCCTAGACGAGCATCGCCGTTTGAAACTCGTTCCGTTTGAGCTTCAGGCACGTGAACGGTCCACAACACCACCCCCAGGCTCGCTGGATTCTGAGCCCCGTTGTTCAAACGCATTTCCAATCTCCCAGGTGTCAAACCCCAACCCAGGCACGTGCTTCTTCCCACGTTCGGTACAAAGATTGTGATATGTTCTATTTTTGCTTTTTAGACCCCTCCTTTCCGATCGACAGGTCTACATCTCCAGCAAACGCTCGGACCCAATCATGCAGCTTGACTCAAGATTATTTTAGCGTATTTTAGCATATTTTGTGATGAAGAACTTGCATGACTGCCCTGGGCTCCTTTAGATGTGATGTGTGTGTATGACTAGTCGATCAAAGATCGCGGAATGTCACGTATCGACTGCTGAGTCTCGGCACAAAGGACCCCCTTTCTTCGTTCGGTAGGGGGGGTCGAGCTACGCCGCAATGGATCTCCTGGATGACACGGCCCTTGTCTGCAGTCTAGCTGGTTTGACCAAGCAGCAGACGAAGGCGCTAGAGCAGTCGGGCTGGAATGTGATGAGGCTGGCTACATTAGCCGGATGCCCGCAAGAGACCCTTGAAGCGGTTAGATGGAACATCCAGGAGAAGAATGAGGGCTTTGATATTAGCATAGCCGACTTGAAAGAAGTGGGGAGAAGATCACAGACCCGTGCCGAGACGAGACACAAGATCGATGCGATCAGAGGAGGTCAGGAATTGCTAGACGCTCACATTGCACATCAACGTCGTGTTAGGAGGCGGACCTTCGATGAGCTGGTTGTCGACGATGTCGCTGCCCGAGTTGCATTAGTGGGTACTGCCAAGATAGCGAGGTGGCCCACTCGCTTAGGAAAGAAACTTCATTTGGCTGGAGATGATCTTGCACTTCGAGAGCTGGCAGAAAGAAATGAACGAGATCGGTGGACGAAAGAAATTCGTGACATTGTCAGAGCGGCCAAACTGCCAGTTGCGGTGCGCTCCAGCGAAGATGCCATGCTGCTCCGGGTGGCGAAGGGGCGTCGACCAAACACGCTCCGCAAGCATGTGAAAACGTGGCAGAAAGCGGCTAGGTGGTTTGAGGCCACTTATGGGGTGGCATGGCCACGTCATCCGGAGCAGTTTGCAGAGTTCTTGGAAGCTATGGTTCAAGAACCTTGTGCACGGTCCTTTCCCGAGTCGGTCTTCAAGACTTTGATGTTCTTGGAACATGCCGGCGAAGTGCCGGAGGGTGAGCAACTATGCCGTGCGCCGGCAGTCAAGAATGCATTGGAGGAGGCTGGACAGAGGCTGCAATCGGTGGAGATCGCTCCATCGAAGCAGGCGCTGCTCATTCCGGTGGCAGTTGTGATGAGCTGGGAGAGGCAGGTCTGCAATGAGGGGGCGTCCAACTACCCCAGGATTTACGCCTGGTTCAGGCTGGTGAAGCTTTGGACAGGCATGCGCTTCGATGACACCAAGGGGACGCCGAACAGAACGATGGAGCTCAGGGAGTGGGGCCTCAAAGGAGTGATTCATCGCTCCAAATCCTCTGGGCCTGGCAAGAGGATCATTTTGCTCCCCTTCTATGTCAACAGAGAGGCCTGGCTGATCGAGAAAGAATGGTTGATGGTTGGATGGCGTCTTTGGAATAGCATGGGCGTCGAATCTGGTCTTTTGACCAGAGATTTTATGTTGCCATGGCCGTCGAGAGACTTGGCAAGTTTTGCAAGGCGTGTGGTGGACTATCCGATAGCCTCCGCACTTTCTCAGGCCTTGTTCGTGGAGCTCAAGACGGAGGTGGATGACCGGGTGCAGAAGCTGCTGTTCCCGAGTGTAGGCCTGCTGTGGACAGAACATAGCGAACGCGCGACAGTGCGCACTTGGGCGCAGGCTGCCAGAGTGCCAGAGGACGTTAGAAGAATGATTGGTCGCTGGCGTCCATCAGCTGATGAAAGCTATGAACGGAACCTCAAAGCCAATGTCACCAGATGCCAGGCGGTGATCGCACACTTCATAAAGAAGAATCTGGGGAACACGGATCCCTTTGACGAAGTCACCGTGATTCAGCTTGTGGAGCAGAAGATGAAGAACTCCGGCTTCTCCCAGACAGAGTGCGATGAGCAGATGCTGAGGCTGATGTCCTTCCTGCCGCTTGGCGACCAGGCCACAGAGTGTGTGAAGCCCAGCTGGACGACGACTGGACCTGTAGTCTTCGTCGAAGAAGGCGGTGTGAAAGAGGAGCCAGAAGAGACGAATGCCATGGCATCGCTGGCCGAGCTATCGTCGGACGGCTTGGAGAACGACGAGCAACTGCCAGGAGTCACACCGCTCGAGAAGGTGGCTGGATTGTACATAGTTTCGGTGGTCGGCCGGTCTAAGACCAAGACGCTTCACAAGATAGGTGAATGCCACCGCCAACCAGGTGTCCACTACAAGAGCTTTGAAGTGTTGGGCGAAGAGGTGCCTGACAAGGCCTTGTATCACAAGGCGTGCAAGCAATGCTTCCGAAGAGGTGTTGCGGCGGCATCGAACTCGCCGGAGAGCGATAGCTCCGGTGAGGTGTCCTCGTCCGAGATGACGGACTCCGATGGCCAGAGCATCGAGCACGACCTCTTGTAAAGCCAGGTGTTCGGTGGAAAGAGAAAACACTGCACGGGGAACGGGTGCGGCATATGTTTTGTTGAGTGGACAGGTGAGATGTCGCACCAGGTAGGTCGAGGCTAGGCTAAGAAGGTTAAGGACAGAGGAGAGAAGGGGGGGCGTCGGTCGTTGTTTTGCATGGTTTCATTTTGCTTGTGATTTTGCACTTGAGTTTGAGTTCAGTTGTTGATTTGAATTGGCTTGTTTGATTTGCTCTCATGCCATGCACAACCACAGGTGGAAGATCTGAAGCGCTTGACCCCAGGCAGTGCGTGCTGACCGGCGCGCACGAGGATGGGCGACATAGGCCATGACACCGAGGAGCGCCGGCGTAATGCCATAGCACTCCTCGACGCGGACTTGCATGGCTTGTTGCAGGTCAAAGAAGTCGAGGAGGTGGTGCAAGCTAAGCTGGCAGTGGCAAAGGTGCGCAGCATGAGTCGGATGAGCACCATCGCAGATGACCGAGGCAAGATGCGCGCTTTCTGCGTGGACGTGCTGGGTCTGGATGAAGCCAGGGATGTGGTTGAAATTGCATCCTTGGTAGACACTTGGGAGTCAGCATCAACCCGGGTGTCAGTCCGCAACAAGGCGGAAGCAGAAGCGGGGGTAGCCAGCCTACCGCGAGCACTCAACAAGATTGAGATCCAGGACTTGCTGGTGAAGTTTCAGAAGATTCACGGCATCAAGCTCGAAGATAGGAACACACCTGCTGCATCGACCCTCGAACAGGTCTTCGATCAGATCGAACAGGGGGAGATGAAGAACATGAGCCTGGTCCAGTTCTTGAGCAGGGAGGATGCAGAGGCAGACGTGCTGGGTGCAATGATAGAGTAGGGTACCGGCACGTTGAAAGTGAAGAAGGGCTATGGGGAGTGTGCAAAACCACGAAATCCAGAAGAGTTTCGCAAACGCATGGGCGTAGTTGCACACACCTATCTCCTGGCTCAGTTGAAGTATCCACAGAAGGCAAGCTTGAAGGACCTGGCACCACAGGATTTTCTCAAGTACCTTGATCTCATGTTGGGCGACCATGTGCTTGGATTGAAAGCACGGAACAAGGATGGAGATGTCATCGCAGCACCCGACTTCGAGTTGGTCCTCGCCTACGACTTCCAGATTCGTCGGCAAATGGTCAAGCTCATGAACGAGGGCAGTTCGATGAAGCTCGCATTGAAAGATGCCATGTCCGACACCACGATCAAAGAACGTTACTTCCTCACGCCCAACGTCTACTCTCAGGTGCAGGTGCACACTACCTCCACCAGGTCCTACAACAGTGGCGGGGACTTGGCACGCTCCCGCAGTCCTGGCAGAAATCCCCCATGGTCAGATCGCTATGGTGAGTCCTTCAAGGGAAAGGGCAAAGGCAAGAAAGGGGGGAAGGGCCGTGGGAAGAAGGGTGGCAAGCAGATGCACGACAAGACACCTGACGGCCGTCAGATCTGCTGGCGTTGGAACAATCCCCGAGAGCGTTGTCGCTTCAATTGCGGTCGGCTTCACGTGTGCCAGATTTGTTTCGGGAGCCATCCAGCCCATTCGTGTGATGGTAGCGGCAAGAAGGACACCGCTGGAGGAGCAGCGGAAGGAAGTGCCAAGTCAGCTTGAAGAGACAAGCCGGAGGGGATGGCCTCGTCCTCTCCCGCTACAGAAGATACACCACGAGGCACACGACACTGTAGAGTACTATATCTCTTCAGTGGAGCGCAACGAAAGGCATCGGTGGCTTCTTTTCTGAAGTTGTTCGCTGCAGACACAGAGTTTGAGTTTGAAGTGCATGAAGTTGACATTCAGAATTCACCTACTTGGGACTTGGCTGATGAGTCCCTTCAAGCAAGGTTGTTGCAGGAGCTGGCCGATGGCTACTACGGTGTGGTACTCATTACACCTCCTTGCTCAACTTGGTCGAGAGTTAGGGGGGCCAATTGTCGAGGCCCTCCCATGATTCGTTCCCGCCAATACCCTTGGGGTTTTCCCTGGCTTTCCAAACGGCATCGCAAAGACGCCGACCTGGGCAACACTCTGATCAAGTTCATGCTCCAAGTGCTGACGGTCCTGCGGGAGCACCCATTTTCTCAGCAGGACCATCTTGTTTTGATCTTCTGTGAACATCCTGAGGATTTAGGGGTCATTTGGCGCGAGGAGGACCAGATGCAGATGGATCCGGCGTCGATCTGGCAGCTGCCTGAGTTGCGCACACTGGTGGCATCATTTCCTTTGAAGTTGTTCACTGTGGTTTTCCATCAGTGCTGTTGGGGCGCGCCATATCGCAAGCCTACTCGCCTGCTTACAAACCTGTCTTCCTTGCAAAGTTGGGGTCCTACCGGGTGGCCAATCTTTGCTACAGACGGCACTTACGCCGGACTTACAATCACCAATTTCACTTGTCAGCCCACTGTCACTCTAGCAAGGCAAACGGGTGACACTTCCTTTCGTACTACGGCAACCTCTATCTACCCAGAAGCCATGGATCGTGCCATTGCCAAGGCCATTTTGGCAGATCTCATGCAGCCACCCCCTTCGGCTGAAGAGGGGGGGAAGACGAAGAGGGTTGCTGCGCTTAAGAGAAAGGCATTGGAGGCGCTGGCGGGTGGAAACACTGCAACACCTGGACAGGGGCCTGATCGACTTTCTGGTGGCAACACTGCAACACCAGAGGTCGAGGCGGGGAGCAGTTCAGAGCTGGGCAAGGCAACATTGTGCAACAAAGCAACATTGTGCAACAAAGCAACATTGTTGGGTCGCAGTGCATTGAGCAACAGAGCAACGTTGTTGGGTCGCAGTGCATTGAGCAACAGAGCAACATTGTTGGACAACAAGGAGACGACTCCGAGCAACAGTGCAGAGTTGTGCAACAGAGCAACATTGGTTGAGGCATCGAGTAGTGGGTCGGTGCTGTTGGCTGGGTCTCCTCCGGTGGAAACACTGCAACACCGGTCTATGATGGTGGTGGCAGACCTGGGTGGGGACCTCCCATTCAGGTGAGATACAAAGGGGAAACTCGCTCCATACATGATGGGGCTGGCCTTTGTTCCCCTGGAAGGTGGCCAGTGCACAAGAGAAACGCGCCCAGGACTCAGGTGGGCAGAGACTTGGCCCTCTGGTTTCTCAGGGCCTTCGAAGACTGGGTGGAACTTGAGGGCGAGGAGAAGGCCAAGTCTTTGTTTTGGTCGACGGCAGCTGGTAAGTCAGGAGGCTCGCCATTCGGAGGTGAGATTTTCGGATTTCGTGAGCGGCTGGACCTCTGGCTTCGGGAGAGGGGCAAGAAGCCGGATCGAAGGCGCCTAGACCGTCGCACAGAGATCAACTTTCGTCGCCTGCAGGCGGTGGCGGAGCTGCTGGGCGATGAGGATGCGGAGTTCTTAGCTGAGGTAGCCAGCACGGGGGTGATGCTTGGAGTGGACGAGGAGATGCCCAGGACACCCCAAGTGTATGAGGAGAAGGTCAAGTGGACTCTACAGATGAGGAGTTTCACGACACCCTGGCTGACAACTACATCTCGGCGGAGGAGAACGCCCAGGACATAGCCAGACAGGTGCTGGAAGAGGTTGAGAAGGGCACGATACTTCGGATGTCGGAGGCGGATGCGAGAGCACGCTTCAAGGGCCGCCTCGCAGTGGCAGCCTTGGGTGCAGTGCCCAAGGAATTGGGGACGACGAAGGTGCGATTGATCCATGACGGCACCTACAGTGTTGACGTCAACAAGAGAATAAGGGTTAAAGATCGCATGAGGTTCCCCTTGATTGATGACGCTGCAGCAATTCTCAGACAAGTGGAGCAGGAGAAGAGAGAGAGGCAAGAGGTGGTGCGGCTGTCTGTGCTCTATGACATCGCTAGGGCTCATAAGCTGATCCCGGTGCGGGAGGAGGACTGGGGCCTTCAAGCCTTTCGTCTCCCAGGAGAGGACAGCGGGGACGTGTTTGTGCGCACTAGGGGGACCTTCGGTGTGGCAAGTGCGGCATACTGGTTTGGGCGCGTCATAGGGGTGGCGGTCCGGTCTGCGCATCGGTTGATGGGTCGTCACATGGGCTTGCTGCATTTGATCTATGCCGATGATGGGTGGCTGGCCGCAACAGGCAAGAAGTTCTGGAAGAAGGTGTTGATGTGGCTCTTCATCTACGAGCTCTTTGAGATCCCTATCACTTGGAAGAAGGTCAAGGGAGGCGCGGAGGTGGACTGGATAGGGTACCACCTCAACATCTCGACCTTTGAAAGAGGCATCAACGAGTCGAAGAAGCAGTGGATCAAGAAGTGGATTGATTAGAGGCTGGAGCATGGCAGCGTCGTGGGCCGCGAACTGAAGTCAGCGCTAGGTCGCTTGTCTTTTGTCGCTGGGGCCTTGAGGCATGTTCGACCTTTTCTGGCCCCATTGTTTTCGTGGTCGGCTTCGTTGGCAGGGGGCACTTTCTCGAAGTTTCCCGATGCAGTGGCCATTCTTCTAGAATTTGTTAAGGCGGAGGTAGACCGGAGACCGACGAGACCGTTGGAGCCCTTGGCCACCGACCCGATTGACATTTTCAGGGTTGATGCAAAAGCTGCTGGCGAAGAGATTGTCATCGGGGGATGGGAGTCTTGGAAGCATGCTGACACCAGACAGGCTCGATGGTTTTCATTTCACCTGACTCGTAGGACTGCGCCGTGGGCGTACATGAAGGGTGACCCTTTCCGTGCAATTGCAAGCCTCGAACTCATCGGGGTGCTGGTAGCTGTGATGGTGTTTGGGCCAGGGTCGGAATGGGCGACGGGTGAGTCGCGTGTGACACTTTCTGCCCTTACAGACAACCTTGCAAACACCCATGTTCTCCGCAAGTTTGGTAGCTGTCGCTATCCATTGTCGATCATTGCCATGGAATTGGCTTCGCAGTTGGACCTTTTAGGGCTCGACCTTGATCTTCAGTGGGTTCCTAGGTGGCAGAATCAAGCTGCGGATGATCTCACAAACGAGAGGTTCGATGATTTTGAACCCTCTCGTAGGCTGCAGGTTGCTTTCGAGTCGCGCGAGTTCGTGGTCATGGACAAGCTTCTTCGCAAAGCAGGTGAGCTCGATAAGGAGCTGCAGCTTTTCAAGAACTCCAAGGAAGCGAAGGCTGCAGCGATCAGAAGCGGCGAGCTGAAGCTGGAGAGGCGTTCCAAGAAGGGGCAGATGAGGTGGCAGGACCCTTGGTGAAGAAGGCAGGGCCGGGACGTTCGCCGCGTGGTCGTCAGTTCCCCTCACGCTAACTAGTAGCTAGCCAGGTGAGGTAGTGCAGGGCCTCATCCAGTAGCTAAAGTGGGGGGAAGAACGTATGAGGCCATAGTGCACAAACTCTCAAGGACAAA